AAATGAAGACAAACATACAGGAGCTTATGGGATGCAGGGAAAGCAGTGCTAAGAGAGCAATTTATACCTATAAAAGTCTACATTGAAAAAGAAGAAAGATCTCAAATCAAGAACCTAACTTTTTACCTTAAGAAATTAGAAACAGATGAACAAACTAAATCCAAAGCAAGCAGAAGAAAGGAAACAATATAGGTTAGAGTAGAAATAAATAGAAAAGAGAAAAAAATAGAAAAATATCAATAAAACCAAAAGATGGTTCTTTGAAAAGATCCACAAAATTGACAAACCTTTAGCTGAACTGACCAAGAAAAAAAGAGAACACTCAAATAACTAAAACCAGAAATGAAAGAAAGGACATTCCTATCCATCTTACAGAAGTAAAGACTGTAAGAGAATACCATGAACAATTCTATACCAGCAAACTAGATAATCTGGACAAAATGGACAAATTCATAGAAATACATAAACTACCAAAACAAACTCAAGAAGAAACAAAATCTGAATAGACCTGTAACAAATAAAGAGATTAAATTAGTAATTGAAAAACTACCCACAAAGGGAAACCCAGGACCTAGCAGAGTCTTCACTAGAGAATTCTTTTTTTTTTTTTAAGATTTTTATTTATTTGACAGAGAGAGAGACAGCAAGAGTAGGAACACAAGCAGGGGGAGTGGGAGAGGGAGAAGCAGGCTTCCTGTGGAGCAGGGAGCCCGATGTGGGACTCAATCCCAGGACCCTAGGATCATGACCTGAGCCGAAGGCAGACGCTTAACGACTGAGCCACCCAGGCGCCCTTCACTAGAGAATTCTGCCAAATGTTTAAAGAATTAACACCAGTCCTTCACAAACTTTTCCAAAAATAGAAGAGGAGGGAACACTTCCCAACTCATACCATGAGATCAAGGACTTGATTCCAAAACCAAAGAAGGACATCACAAAAAAGAGAACTACAGACCAACATCTCTTGTAAATATATACAAAAATGCTCAACTAAACATTAGCAAACCAAATCCAGCAACATACACAAAGGATTATACACAATGACCAAGTGGGGTTTATCCCAGGAATGGAAGGTTGGAGTAATATATGAACATCAATCATTAATCGAATGAAGGACAAAGGTGATATGATCTTTCGATCTTTCTGATATAGGGAAAGCATTTGACAAAATCCAACACCCTTTCATAATAAAACATGCAAACAACCAAGAATGGAATCATCAACATGATAAAGGGATTTATGAAAAATCCTCAGCTAATATATTTAATGGTGAAAGATACTTTCAGCCTAAGATTAGGAGGAAGGCTTCTATTCAGCAGCGTACTGGATGTTCTAGCCAGGGAAAATAGGCTGAAAAATAAATAGAAGTCCTCAAGATTGGAAGAGAAGAAGTAAAACCGTCTGTATTAGCAGGTGACATCTGGTGTGTAGAAAAGTTTAGGAAATCCCTTATGAAACTATTAGAAACAATAAAGAAGTTCAACAGCTTTATAGGCCACACAATTAATATATGAACTTTCATTATATTTCTATACATTAACTATGAAAAATCTGAAAAGGAAATTAAGAAAACAACTCTGCTTAGAATCACATCAAAAAATAATAAAATACTTAGGAATAAACTATCTAAAGGAGTGTAAGACTTGTATGCTTAAAACTACAAACATTGTTCGATGAAATTAAAATCTGAATAAATGGGAAGACAACCCACGTTCATGAATCAGAAAACTCTTTTATAGTCACACTTACCCTCTGCCCCCATCGTTTCCAATCCCTGGCAACAACTCACCTGTTTTCATCCTCTATACTTTTGTTATTTCAAGGTTGTTGTATGAATGGAATATGTTACAGTATATAATCTTTTAAGATTGGCTTTTTCCAGTGGGCATAATGACCTTGAGATATGTCAAGTTGTTGTGTGTATCAACAGATCATTCCTTTTTATCCTGCCTCCTTATGTAACTCTCGAACATTTTTAGAATTCCACTTTGATTTATCTATAGTATTTTTTTTTTTTGGTATACCTCTTTGCATAGATTTTTTTTTTTAGTGGTTGCTCTAAAAAGTCATATTATACATAGCTTAGGCAGTTACTAATGTGGACATTTTACTCTTTTGAGATAGTGTTATAGGTCCCTGAGGTTTTCTTCACTTTTTTCAGTCTCCCGCTCTGTGTTCAGTTTGGGTAGTTCATATTCTATGCTGGGATTTCCCAATATGGTGGAAATAGGCATTATTCTTTGCCTTATGTGAGTGCCACGCACTATTCCCCTGGATTCTTCCAGGTGTCTCTTTCCTGGCCAGGAGCACACGCATGTGCTTATCAGTACGCAGCTGAAGACTGGAGGGGGTCCCCTAGAGGTATTTGGAGCTCTCTCTCTGTGCAGCCTTCTCTTTTCGAACACCAGTGCTGCAAAGTCTAGCTGCCCCAGTCCCCTGGACTCTCAGCTCCATTTCTTTGATTAAGGGAGTCCATTCACCTCTACCTGGCTTCCTCTTCCGTGGACGAAGATCTGGAAATGCCCTCGAAGCACTGAGCTGGGACCAGTTGTTTGTTTCCTGTTTCTTATGATCATTGTCCTTTGCTGCCTGATGGTCAATATCTTGAACACATTAGTTTTACATATTTTGTCTGTTTCATATATTTTGTCTGGTTCCTGCTGCTTTATTGTGGTTGGGTACAGATGTCTCCATAATTATTTTTTTTTTGGGGAAAATAGTTTTCCTAAAGATACATTATTATGTTAATATGTCATAATTTTCTTATTGATTTTTAAATGAATTAATAGCTAAGAAAATGTTTCATTTTAATTTCCAATATGGTAAATACTGATAGATGTAGCCCATGTAAATAAAATCTCTTTGGTATCCTCAGTCCTTTTTTAAGAGTATAAAACAAAGTCCAAGAAGTTTGAGAACTGCTTGCATAGATGAGTTTATTTAATCCCTACAAATCTTTATGAAAGAGTTACTATTATTATCTACTCTATTTTATAGATAAGGAGACTGAGGCGCAGAGCAGTGAAGCAGCTACCTAAGATGATAACAGTTAGTAAGTGCAAGACCGTCTTTGAACCCAAGTGGTTGACGTCACTGTCTGTGCTCTTCAAACCACATGCCACACTAACTGTGGGTTTTTCAGCTTGTTTCATGTCTCAGCTTCACAGAGGAACATTAGCTGGAGGCCCCTGTTCTCCCACGAATCTCTTCCCACCCGGCAGAATCCTTGGGCTCCAAGTGTGTTCATGTTGCCAACTTGGGGTGTCCCCAGGGGAAAAGACATGTGGTTGATCTCTGCTGTGCCCGTGCAGGCTTGGACTTCACCCTAATGGACTGGAACCTAACGACAGATGTGCCAGTGGACCTGTGGCTTAGCTCGGTGGTGCTTGTCAGAGGCCCCAAGCCTCCGTTTGCACATGCACATTTAATGGAACAACACCCGTGCTGGTCAAAGTCACTGGGCCTCAGGGGTCCCCAGACCTGTCTCTCCTGGGGCAAGCCTTGGATTAGCGTACAACTACAAAAGTCTGAAATATGGAAGACAAGTTTGAGCACTAGTTGCCCTTTCAAACAGATTCTTTTTTTTTTTTTAAGATTTTATTTATTTTTGAGAGAGAGAGAGCGAGCACAAGAAGGGGGAGGGGCAGAGGGAGAGGGAGAAGCAGGCTCCCCAGCAAGCAGGGAGCCGGATGTGGGGCTCGATACCAGAACCCTGAGATCATGACCTGAGCTGAAGGCAGACGCTTAACCTTAACTGATTGAGCCACCCAGGCGCTCCCAGATTCTGTTTTTAAAAGAATTCTTTCCATAAAGATTTCTTCATATTATGGATTCCTGGGGTGTAAATAAACTTTTTTATTTATACAAATTCAATTCAGAACTAGCTGTGTTGAGTAAAACGATATTTGAGATGCTGGAGCAATAAGAGTGATACGCACTCTACCTTCAGGCAGCTCATAGGAGTATGAAACAAGAATGTTTAAAATGACATCCTAACCAATATTTACTGAGCAGTTTCTCTGAGTAGAGCCCTGTTCTTGGTCCAGTGGATAGAGCAGTGAACAAGGCAAGAGTCTGTCTTGGAGAGTTTACATTTTGGTGTATAGCATATTTATAACATGGAAGCAGGTTATTTTAAACAACATGGCAATCCAGCATAACATCACTGGTTCCAACAATGAGTTGGGTGCTTTTTGTATATCTAGCCAGCCTTTAGTTGGGTGCCGTGTTGCATAAACAGTTTCAACCTCAAGGGGTATAAAATTTGATTGAAAAACAAAACCAGGGATGCCTGGATGGCTCAGTCGGTTAAGTGCCTTTGGCCCAGGTCATGATCCTGGGGTCCTGGGATCAAGTCCCGCATTGGGCTCCCTGCTCTGCGGGAAGCCTGCTTCTCCCTCTCCCTGCCTCTCCCCCTGCTTGTGCTCTCCTCTGACAAATGAATAAATAAAAATCTGTAAAAAATAAATAAATTTAAAAAAACAAAACCAGTTATCCTCAAAAGTGGAATCTACAGACTGTATACATAGTACCCGTGAATGCCAGCCCCCTCCCCCGCAAGTAGCACAGGTTGGAGGAGACCTAGGGACAGTGTTATGTGCAGCACAGTGTGAATGATGCCCTGGAGCTGTCTAGCCGGGCAACTCCGATAAGTGCTACACGGGGTGGGCATCTACCATGAACAGATAATGTGAAATTGCAAACACAAAAGGATCACAATTGTGCACACAATACCCCCATGCAGATAAGACTGGAATCAAAATATTGTTGGCACCCATCTTTGGTGGTGAAATTAAATTCTATTTTCTTTCTTTCTGAAGATTTTATTTATCTATTTGAGAGACCGAGAGCACAAGCAGGGGGAGCAGCAGGAGAGGGAGAAGCAGGCTCCCTGCTGAGCAGAGAGCCCAACGACGACTGGGACTCCATCCCAGGACTCTGGGATCATGACCTGAGCCTCTGGCAGACACTTCACCGACCGAGCCACCCTGGTGTCCTAACTTTCTTCTTTCTATTTCTGGGCATTTCCAGGTACAATGAAATTTTTATAGCAAAAGATTAGAAAATAATTAACTTAAAATCATGTCAATAATCCTGAGATTTCTCTCCTCTCAGGGAAAATAATAACTGGCAAGAAGGTGTCTTAGTAAGTGTTCTTGGGTCATTCAAAGTAGTTGCGGGTTTTCTTTTCTCTGTGCCCTTGTAGGGCTCGGTTTTGGCCCGCGTATATGCTGTAAACATCAGGCTTCCCCAAGGGGCTCATGAGCTCAGGAGTTTAGTAAATGCTCATTTTTTAAAAATTTTTTTTATTTTTTAAAGATTTTATTTATTTATTTGACAGAGAGA